GGGACAGCGGCGGGGCGCTCGTGTAGGGAGATTGACCTACAGTGCCCAGCTGGGGCAACCGTGCCGTCCCGTTGCTGGTGCCGTCGTGACGGTCCTGGAAGAGGGCGAGAGCAAGGCAAAGGACAAGAAATCAGGAGCCGATCCACTGACGGGTTACTAAAGCCACTCGCAACACTGGGTAGGAACCGCTCTTTCCTTCCTGCAGGCCACCGGGGCAGAAAAATCAGCTCTACAGGAGTCACCTCAGAGAACAACCCCGAAATCAAACAGGCGCTTCCAAAAGCGCGAAGGAATCGGACTGTGAACACAGGGGCGAGAGAGATTCTTCTCACTCGCTTCTTTGAAAGGGGGAAGAGGATAGAAAGTGGCTTCCTGGAAGACGGCCCGTCAAACTGCTGCGTGAAACCTCCCTTAAGCAAAATTAAAATCCCTACTAAATATTAAACAGCAGAAGCGGCCTCCCCCCGACCGCATTTGAACCTGCCTGCCACTTCGTTGTTTACTCTCTTCCACTTAGAAGGGGGGGAAATCATAAACCTTCAAAGACTGTTACCATTTCATAAGTATTTAAAAAGAAACATACTTCGCACAGGGGTTGTAACGAGAGCACAGGCTTAAATTACCAGTTTAAGGAAGGTTTTAACTGTAGGATCGGGGGTCTGTCTTTTCCGCTTCCTCGGCTAGGAGCCTTTTTCCCCACAGAGTCGGTGAATGGGGGACACCAAATTAAGGTTTAAAACAGAAAGGCTCAGCCTTATTTGGTTTAAAAGAGAGGTGCACCCAGGGGCGGAGGCCCCCTCCCCTTCCACCCTAGCCCCAAAGGGCAGAAGAAACGCCTGACTTTTTGTTCCTGTGTTGCAATTCGCTTGCAAAACAAGCAAATTGGATTCCCGGGTACGCGAATCCTGCACTGTTCTGCCGCAGACCCTGAAGGGCTGGGGGCTCGCCGGGTGGGATTTTTTTTCCTGGACACAGATTTAGCATCAAATGTTGAGAACATCTCGGGAACAAGTGGAGACGCAAGGAAATAAAGGTGAACGTGGCGAGAAGCACGCGTTGAGTGGCAGCTGTGGGGCACATCCGAGCGCGAGGGGGCGAGTGGCAATGCATTAGGTCCAGGGATAGAGAGGAGCAAAGGAGTGGGAGAAAGGTGGAAAGGGAGGGAATGCAAACAGGAAGAGGTGTCTGGACGGAAACCCGGGCGCGAAACCCGAGGTCGCGAGCAGCTCCGCTGGCCCCAGGATTCCAGAATAGAATTCCTAAGGAACAGGGATGGGGGTGGGGGGTGGGACTCACCATAGCTGAAAAACTGTGAGCTA